ACCAAAGAGAGAGAGCTACAAAACAAAGCAGAATCGGACCTATGTTGATATGAAAAATAAATCTTATTTTTGCGTGAGGAATCTGCCCACGAAAGATGGCATATGCTTTTTGAAACATCCTGTAAATACAGGGTGTCCCAGAAATAAGTGCAAGTAATTCAACTGGTAGTATAATTCAACCCCAGAAACACGCCTATGAGGTGTTTTTCACGAACATTTTTTTTTAAACTTCGAAATTTTTTGAAAAATTTTTTGATTTTTTTTTAGTTTTTAATTAAAAAACATAATTTCATGATAATATGGCAACATAGGTATTAGATTAAATTTACAAGAAAAAAAAAATCCAGAAAAGATCCAGCGATTCCCAAAATTTTAGCAAAAAAGCATGTTTTTTCGAAATTTTCAAAGTAAAATAACTCCGTTATTTTGGACTTATTTGAAAAACGAAAAAGAGAAAATATGTTTCTTTTATCGAGATTTACCAACCCTTAAAATACTTGTACTTATTTCTGGGACACCCTGTGTATTCAAAAAAATCGAAAACGAAAACATATTTTTCCAGCAAGACAAGGCACCGCCTCAGAATGGTGAAGTTATCAGCAAATTTTTGCAGCCAATTTCGAGAATAATTAAATTGCTAACAAAGATCCCAGTCGTTGGACATCGAGGCCGGCGCGGCGGACTTATTTCCTATGGATTTTTATTTTTGCGGAAGAATAAAGATTCTTATTTTTAAATTGCCCATATATAATCTAGGCAAGACTGAGAACTACTTATGCGAGGGTATCTTTCATTCCCACTGAGTTAATTAATTCCGCGAGAAATGTTCAAAAACGGCCCCGTCTGTCCATAACAGAAGACGGTTGACATATCGAACAACCAAAATCTGAAATCTTGGTTTGATATTAATTTTTATTTTTATTAGATATAGTTTAAATGTGTTGATGTTGTTAACTGTAATTTACATTGTTATAAAATTCTGCATGCATCTCTCATTGCAAATATTATTCCGCCGTTCAAAGCCTACTTATTCAAAGTGGGCGAATTTTTACAAACTGAATATCTCGAGAGAAGAGGAATCGAGCAAAATATCAAGTTAAATTATTTTCAATGAATTAAAAATATACAGGGTGTCCCATATAAAAAATCAAATTTTCTATTCTTAATTTCTAAAGTGTTAATTTAAAAAAATATTCTTAAACCATTAAATTCTACTCTTAATGTACTAAAGTGTTCTTTTAAAATGTTTTCATAAAAATACAACATTTTCTGTAGCAAAAAGTTACAGTGGTTTGTTAAAAATGCACTTTTTTGAAAAACATCCCGTAATTCTGAAACGGTAACAGATATCTATGTGCGGTTTCACCGTCATGTTTTTAATAAAATTAAGCTCCAGACACCGATATTAGTCTTCGTCTATCTCCTACAGAAAAAGGTGTTTCCCTTAAAAGCGTCCAATTTTGGCCCATCCTGTAAATTTGTTGATAAATAATATATGTCAAGGGTCGACAAAGGCCCGGAACTTAAGATACCGCTGAGCCGGGAGTCGTTGGCAGTCGCTGGCAGTCGTTGGCAGTCGCTGGCAGTCTTTGGCAGTCACTGGCAGTCTTTGGCAGTCGCTGGCAGTCTTTGGCAGTCACTGGCAGTCGTTGGCAGTCGCTGGCAGTCGTCGGCAGTTACTGGCAGTCGTCGGCAGTCACTGGCAGTCTTGTATAAAATGACATTTTGGCAATACGTGTACATTTTTTACCCTAGTGAGACACCCCTCGGGTAAATCTTAATCAGATTTACTTTTATTTCAATCGTAGAAACTAAAAATGATATAATATACAGGGTCCAGCAATAGTGCGTCGGGCATCTGTAGCTACTAGAATAAAAAACTTGACAATTTTGTTTAAGTGCAAACCTAAAGTATGTACCAGGATGTATTTCAGGAAAATATTTTAACTTCTATAGGGTGGCCCAAAAAAGTGTGAGTGGATCTGAATGATTTTTTTTAAATGGAACACCCTGTATATTCTTGCATTTTTGGCTTTCTTTCAGATTACTTTACATAACCCTAAGATATGAATAAATATATTTCGATAATTTCAGAGATATTAAAAAATAAATCAAAAATATATATTTTTCAGCCCTTCTTAAAAAAATATATTAAAAATACAAGAACTGTTCTGAAATCAAAACTATATTAGGTATTTACTTTAGATGGTCTGTTCTTATTTTAAAGTAAGTAAAAGTAAATCATACAGGAAGTTCAATATTCTACGCCAAACTTTCTAAAATATAAAATATTTTTTCTTTGTTTTTTTAAATGTAACACCCTGTATATTATTTTTATATTAGATGGAGAGTTAAAAGATGAACATTTTTTGTATTTAAAGTATTTCAAAATTTTTAACGGTTTCGCAGAATCACGCAGTATTATTTCAAATTGCGCTTTCAATGTTAAAATACGAGAGAAAAATCATTGGGTGGCTTTGATAAAAATTTACTGTGGAAAATGCAATATGAAATATAAAACCGCAAATATCTGCAAAACCGTTAACAATTTTGAAATACTCTAAATACAAAAAATGCTCATTTTTTAATTCTCCGTCTATTGAAAAAATAAAATACAGGGTGTTCCATTTAAAAAAAAACCAAGAAAAATTATTTGATATTTTAGAAAGTTTGGCGTAGAATATTGAACATCCTGTACGATTTACGATTACCATATTTATAGTAAAGTAAGAACAGACCATCTAAAGTAAATACCTAATATAGTTTTGATTTCAGAACAGTTCTTGTATTTTTAATAACTTTTTTAAGAAGGGCTGAAAAATATATATTTCTGATTTATTTTTTAATATCTCTGAAACTATCGAAATATATTTATTCATATCTTAGGGTTATGTAAAGTGATCTGAAAGGAAGCCAAAAATTCAAAAATATACAAGGTGTTCCATTTAAAAAAAATCATCCAGGTCCACTCACACTTTTTTGAGCTACCCTATAGCAGTTAAAATATTTTCCTGAAATACATCTTGGTACATACGTTATGTTTGCACTTATACAAAATTCTCAAGTTTTTTATTCTAGGAGCTACAGATGCCCGATGCACTATTGCCTGACCCTGTATAGGGCGTTATATTGAAAAAATACTACTTTGATGTATTTTTTATTTTTTTGGGACATTTTTGAAAACAATTTTAAATTGTAGCTTTAGTAGTCGTAGTATCGATCCCATCACTCACGATTTCTAAAAACCCATTCAGTTGGCTACAATACTCCGTGTCGTATAACAACGTCGTCAAAACTTAAAAAAAAGGATTACATTAGTCAGTGGTAATATTCTTCATCTAATCGTAAATAAATAAGGGTTTGTTTACATTTGATCTGTATATGGTGAGTCAAAATAAATCAGTCTATCTTTTATACATATTTATATTCGGTAATATAATCTTTAATCTTTCTTGGACAACCCATTATAATTAATAATTATAATGGGTTGTAATGTAATAAAGTTAAATAACTAAGTAAAATATGACGTAAATCTGGTGTAAGTTCCTTTCGCGTCTGTAAGTAGTTCGCCGCCGCTCATGCACCGCCCCAAATTTCCATTACCGCGCTTCCATTCCGATGCATAATGCCGTTAGATGTCGCTTTGATTGCGGATTTAATTAGTTTGAGACACACGCCTCCCCTATAATTCAGGACAACTGTTTCTCTCCCGCCTATCGCTATGGAAGGGCTAGGGACGATTATAAGAAGGGATGGGAAATGACAGTGGTGATATCGCGCGGTGAGGCGGTTTCAAAATATTAACCCGATTTAAATATTTTTAGACTTACATGATAATATGATACATACAGTGTCACAAATAGGTCCGCATCAAATGGATTTTTTTAATTTATTGACTGAAAATTTTGATTGAAAGTAAAATTTGGCTTTGGCAATAATTTCTGCTTTGATTTTACTAAAACTGACATCAGAAAATTAGAAAATTTCGCGTCCTGCTCTCGGGTATCTGTAAAATTTGACATTTAAAGTAATAAAAATTAAAGAATAGCAGCTGATTCTTGTGATAAAAGCAAAAATTACTAATGGGAGCCATAGTCAAATATGTTAAATGTGTTGAATAAATTTATAGCTTTTTCATGCCATGGCCAGGTTCTCACAATAGGAATTGACCTCAAATCCAAGAAGGCAATAGAAAAAGAGAGATATCCTCAATTATAGGTTCGGGACAAGACCGGTATCAGGTCTAATGAGAGACCAAATTAAAGAGGTGAAGAAAATTGAGATAGATCCTCCAGCCTCCATCTCACGAGTACCCCAGCCGGAGAAAGGTTCTCGACTGTGAAGGGTACGGAGAGTCAAACCCCAACCGTGGAGGGTAGGTATATGCCCTTTGCGGACGTAGATGTTTACTCTTCGGAGGATGAACATCTGTTGTCAGAGAAGAATGGGAAACACACTGTTTCTCCTACAACAGGTAGATCCCCATGTATCATGAGTTATCGAATGAGTTATAGACTGAATGATGAGATGAGTTATAACTTAAGAAAGAGGGACACAATATAGATCTTTAAGGTCGCGGTGATTAACCCCCCTTCCACTCATTCATTCTACATAAGAAATGACAGCAATCATCATTTCCAAGCTATCTCTGACGCCGTTTTTTCGATTGTATCGGTATAATTAGCCAATTTTTATTTTAGGCATTATTAGAATCTAACTAGCATCGATATTCGTGAACTAACATATATATTAAATGCCTTTAGTTAAGTGTATATTTTATTGTCCATGATACAACTCACAATCCAGGCTGTTTAATAAGTTGAGGCTTGTTACCGTTAAAATTCCAGTATTATTGTTATTTAATTTTCAAAGTTAAATAACCCGGTTATTAACAATTTAAGTAAAAAATGGTAAATAAAACATAAGTTTGTTTTCGCCACACCAACTTAAAATACATATTTAAGAGACCACTGTATAAAATATTTAAATAATATACTTACCAATCGCTTCAGTCGTCGTAACCTATAACAATAAAAATTAATAAATTTAGCTGTCATGACGTTATCTTGAAAAATACACCAATTATTTCATTTCGCCCACTTGATCATAACAGAAGAAACATAGATAATTATCATAATTGGGTTTCTCCTGCAATTTTCATGCAAACAAAAATACGTCATTTAAAATACTAACTAATAATACTACACTCTAAGCGAAAATGGAATTAGATACGATAAAACTGAGAATGACGATTAATAAAGCAACAGATAAATTATGATTTTATCGTAACAAAGTTAATTTAAGTTACTAAATTAATTAATTAGTTTTATTGTGATAGTTTTCATATTTATCAAGATAAGAGTATAAAGCACCTATAAATAATGAAAACAATATAATCTTAAATAAAGCTTGAATCTTAAATAAGTTGCTAAGATTGGTTAGGGAAAAGTGTAGGGATAAGAGGTTACGTTCTAGAATTTATTAAGTTCTATTTAGGGAAAATCGAAAACAGAAAGTGCGTTATAACGATACCTTAAGTAATGGAAATAGTCTTGTTGTAGGAAAGTTCTGGAGCTCCTCAACGGACTCTCTCAAGGGAATTCTAGGACCTATTTTGTTTTTAGTTTATATAAATGAATTGGGGACCTCAGTAAAGAATGGTTCGGTTATTTGCTACGCCGACAATACTTCAGTGACATTTACGGACGATTAGTTGGGAAGGTGCATTCTTAAAAGCAGAACAGATTCTTAAATTAATTCATAGTTGGATAAGTGATAAAAAAATAAGTCTAAACATATTAAATATCAACAATAATATCAACAATAATAAAAACAACGTTAATATTTTCTTTAACAACTGCCGATTAACCACAAAAAATTGTATTAAGATTCATGACCCCCCATATCGTGTAATTTATTAGATAATAACTGCGCCTGTCCCTATATTCAGAAATCTGATAAAACTAATATTTAGAGTTGCACATCGATCAATGAAATGAACATGCTATTGAAACCTCAAAAAAACTTGTATTATAAATTGTATCACCTATGAAACATTTTGGATGAAAATAAAATAAAAATAGTATACAACTCATTACTCGAGTCAATTTTAAGGTATTGTCTAGTAACCTGGGGAGGTCTCAATGATAATGCAATGCGAATTTTAAATATATGCTAAAACAAAATTCTGAACCTACAATTCTCTATCCTATCTCTATCCTACAATTGACACCTTTATTCTGAATTTAACGTTTTCAATTTTAGAGGACTGTTTCTAAATGCAAGCTTATTTTTCTATAAAAAAATTAAACATAACTTTAAAGGTCTAGACCATCATTATAATACTCGCTCTAAAAAAATATGATTTACAGTCACACTTCTTCAATAAATCCCATTTACAAACAAACATACTATTTTTGCTTCCTAAATTTCTTAATATGCTGCCTTTGTCCATGAGAATGAAAATTGACAGACTCAGTATAAAAAAGGGATAAATATCACCTTGACAACTTAAGGTATGTTGACATTTGATTGGTTTTGCATTGTTACTTGTTCAGTTTTAATTTAAAAATAGATGCAGTTTTTCTTAAATTACTTAAAATTGGCTTGTCTAAAATTTTTCAAATTTGGCATGTGTATTCAGCATAGGCAGGCCCTTAAAAACCTAATATTTATTAATATATTAGGAGAGCCAATATTTGGACAGTTTAAAATTTGCATTGGATTTCCTATGTTTCAATCGACGATGCATCACCCGGTATAGTTTTATAACTGTATGGTTGTGTGGTTCAATCCACATCCCTGTCGTTCGTGCTAATCCTGGTGTTTTAGGCCTAACATGGATCTAAATATGTTGATGTTTTTTTTAATATGTATCTAAATTAATACATTCCTTTTTTATTTAAAAATACTTTTCCTGAATAAAATAAATAATGATCATACGGCTGTTTACAAACTAAAAGCACCGTATGTAATTAAATATACGCCCGGCATATTGAAATAGTTTAATTATGAATGTGCGCAACGTTATCAGTAATTTCGTCGAAATAAACGTATCTAATTACATCACCGCGCTACTGTTTATGAATTTGCAAAATGAAATTTATGTCATTATGTCATCAGCTATCGTTCGATTGAGCCCCATAATTTCTGGAATTCTGCTCTTCGTACATCTCTTTTTGGGGTTGGTCAACTCTTTCTCGGGATATCTTCATTACTCGGAAGAGGTGTATACGGTCTCTGGCAGGTATAGCGCCCTACAGAGATGTAAGGACTATTTTAACAAATTTAATATTTTAACCCTTCCATCTTTGTTAATGAGATTACGATTAGTACCAGCGCAAAGGTCCTAAATTCAAAAGCTTTACTTCGAGTCCTCGTAAAGTAACTGTTATAATTACTTAGAAATAACGATTAACGATTACTTAGAACACATCACTATATTCCATTAAGAATCTCTCTATAGTTTTCTAACTGTATAGCTGTGTAGTTCAATCCACATTCCTGTCGTTCATGCTAATCCTGTTGTTCTAGACCTGAAATGGATCTAAATATGTTTATGTTTTTGTTAATATATGTATCAAAATTAATACATTCCTTTTTTATTTAAAAATACTTTTCCCGAATAAAATAAATAATGAGCATACGGCTGTTTTCAAACTAAAAGCACCGTACGTAATTAAATATACGCCCGGCATATTGAAATAGTTTAATTATGAATGTGCGCAACGTTATCAGTAATTTCGTTCGAAATAAACGTATCTAATTACATCACCGCGCTACTGTTTATGAATTTGCAAAATGAAATTTATAACAAGGCAAAACCGCGGCCGACGTATTTACAAACTACTAGCGGCATATAAATATCTAAACTGAATATCTTTCTGCACAATGCACGGCTCACTCTGTGTTCAGAGATTCGCCAACGATTTAATATTTACATTAGCGTGTTCATACGTGCATACGCAGATCAGATGCCTTTCATTCATTGAGGTGGAAAGGGCCCATAAATTTACCGTTGTTTTGAGCATTTATTGCTTTGTCTAATTAGGGTACATAGATTTGAGCATACACGCAACAACTCTTTGTAAAATATCACTGCAGTTATCTGCTTTTATATAAAAAGTTTCTCTGAACTGTTTCTGGACTAGTTTTTGTTTTATACTTAAATTCTTTAGTTGTCGTTAAGGTCTGTGACAAATTTTACAGTTTATGTTGATTTTTGCAAAATATAGAAGGGTAAATATTCTAAAATACCCTAAAATATTTTGAAAAGTTTATAAACGAAAGTCGTTGTTTACAAACAGCTTTGATACAGATGTCTAAAGCCATTATTTAAAAAGAAGAAATTGAGACACAAGTAAGCTGCTAGTATGACTCTATTATTATTAAATGTGTCACAAATAGACCCCTCTAACTTTGATAACATGTAACAAGTGCCTCCAAATATATTTTTTAATTAACTTGAAATTGTTTATTCCTTTTGTAATACTTCTAATATTTCTTTTCCTGGTCCCTTAAGTAATTGTCCGACCAAATTATCGCCGGTAGTGCCAGTTACGATTCTTGTTTTTATGAAACGTAAATTGTGCATGTGGTTTGTTCAAATAAACACATAGTAAGAGTCGATTGAATATCAGAAATTGAATCGTGTGATTCAATTGACTAAAAAGAATGGTACTGCCCATCACTACACCCTTGCGTTTATAAGATCAGTATTTTTAGGAATTAGATTAGTTCACACTTTTAGCCCAAGAAGATATGCTATTTCATAATTCATTATTGTGTACCACTTTCAAGAGAGGTGTATAACAAACTTTCTTGTCTAAAGAAAGACTCAAACTGCTTGTTTTCAAAAACGTTGCTTACTTCTAGAAAACATTATCTCAAAAACTAATCGTAAGAATTAAATATTGGCTATGAGACTCTAATAAGAAAGGAACAAACTTTTCAACCATATGCCACATAAGGACCGAATTAAAAAAAATTGAGTTCATGCCTTCTATTCATGAATAACCGGCGAGTAGAAATTATCCCATTTTGGTTTATCCGTAAATGGGACCTGCGTATTATTTTTGTGTAGGAAATATTCCCCATTATATTAAAAATTGTTATATTTTAAAAAGTTCTTGATCTAGAGGTTATTGATTTACATAATTTGCAACATAAGAAAAACCAAACCAAACCAAACCAAAATAGTGGAGTGCTTTAAGCCCTTATGGGATACAAACCTCGGAATTTATTTACTGCGAACGAAATTTTAAAAAACTTTTTGCATTGTATTGTTAATAAGATATATTACAAAGTTTACCCATTTAAATTCGTTGCTTTCTCTTTAGTTTTTAAATTAAACACACATACACAAATCCATACATACAAGATGGCTCTGTGTTGTCCGAAAAAGCGCTCTATCAGGATTCCTATATGAGATTTTCACTCCAAAACTTTTACAAAATATGTGTTTAATTGTAGTTCACATTTCAAAAATATTTTTATAGATATACAGGGGAGTGAGATAAGTCAGAATATTCCAATATATTCTGACTCCAAATATAAACTTAAATATATTCCAATATATTCGGTTTCAAAAATACCTTAATACCATAGAGTATACTGAGTGGTTTTTGAATTATGACCACGTCCATGAGGACGTCAATCTAGACGCCCAGGCACCTTCGTATGAGAACTTCTAATCGAGACGATCGACTTACTGTAAGTTTATCGCTAAGAAACCGCCGTTTGCCAGCGTTTCAAATGTATAATGAATTGCACCTAAGGAAGGTATATATTAACTAACGGACTATAAGAAGAAGACTAAATGAAGCAAATCTTATGTCAAGAGGGCCTGCTTCGGGACCAGAACTTACTAGATCTGTTGACTAGGACCAAAAACAAAGACATGGTCTTAATGTAAAAATTACGAAAAAATGTTAGTGTCTTCTTCAAAAGCAACAAAAAATCTCCAACAAAAATAAAGCTAATGAGATGAAGCAAAAAACAAACTATCGAGAAAGGACGTATCT